TTCATCATGGATATTAGCCTGAAGTTTTCTTTTTTAATTGAGTCTCTTCTGGGTTTTGGTATCATGATAATGTTGGTCCCATAAAATGTTTTGGGAAGGATTCCCTCTTTTTGTATAGTTTGGAATAGTTTCAGAAGGGGTGGTACCAGCTCCTCTTTGTACATCTGGTAGAATTAGGCTGTAAACCCATCAGGACCTGGGTTTTTTTTGGTTGGTAGGCTATTAATTGCTGCCTCAACTTCAGCCCTTGTTATTGGTCTATTCAGCGTTTTGACTTCTTCCTGGTTTAGGCTTGGGAAGATGCAAGTGTCCAGGAATTTATTCATTTTTCTAGGTTTACTGATTTGTGTGCATAGAGTTGTTTGGAGTAATCTCTGATAGTAGTTTGTATTTCTGTGGCATTGGTGGTGAAGAATCTATTTGATTCTTCGCTCTTTTCTTTTTTATTAATCTGGCTAGTGGTCTATTTTGTTGATCTTTTCAAAAAACCAGCTCCTGAATTTATTGAGATTTTGAAGGTTTTTTTTGTGTGTGTCTAACTCCTTTATTTCTGCTCTGATCTTAATTATTTCTTGTTTTCTGGTAGCTTTTTCATTTTTTTCAATCTTGCTCTTTCAAATTTGATGATAGGGTGTTGATTTTATATCTTTGCTGGCTTCTCATGTGGGCATTTATTGCTATAAATTTCTCTCTAGACATTGCTGTAAATGTGTCCCAGAGATTCTTGTACGTTGTGTCTTTGTTCTTGTTGTTTTCGAAGAACATCTTTATTTCTGCCTTCATTTCATTGTTTATCCAGTAGATGTTCAGCAGCCAGTTGTTCAGTTTCCGTGAAGTTGTGAATTTCGGAGTTAGTTTCTTAATCCTGAGTTCTAATTTGATTGCACGGTTGTCTGAGACACTGTTTTTTAGGATTTCCATTCTTTTGCATTTGCTAAGGAGTAATTTACTTCCAATTATGTGGTCAGTTTTAGAATAGGTACGATGTGGTGCTGAGAAAGTATATTCTGTGGATTTGGGGTGGGGAGTTCTGTAGATGTCTATTAGGTTTGCTTGGTCCAGATCCGAGTTCAAGTCCTGAATATCCTTGTTAATTTTCTGTCTCATTGACCTGTCTAGTATTGGCAATGGAGTGTTAAAGTCTCCCACTGTTATTGTGTGGTAGTCTAAGTCTGTTTGTAGGTCATTAAGAACTTGCTTTATGTATATGGGTTCTCCTTTACTGGGTGCATATATAGTAGTATTAGCTTTTCTTGTTGCATTGATTCTTTTACTGTTATGCCCTTCTTTGCCTCTTTTGATCTTTGTTGGTTTAAAATCTATTTTATCACAGACTAGAATTGTAACTCCTGTTTTTTATTGCACTCCATTTGCTTGGTAAATCTTCCTCCATCCCTTTATTTTGAGCCTATGTGTGTCCTTGCTCATGATAGGGGTTTCCCAAATACAGCGCACCAATGAATCTTGACTCATTATCCAATTTGCCAGTCTGTGTCTTTTGATTGGGGCATTTAGCCCATTTAAATTTAAGGTTAATATTGTTATGTGTGAATTTGATCTTGCCGTTTTGATGCTAGCTGCATGTTTGCCCATTAGTTGATGCATTTTTTTCATTGTGTTGATGGTTTTTACCATTTGGTATGGTTTTGGAGCGGCTTATACTGGTTGTTCTTTTCCATGTTTAGTGTTTCTCTCAAGATCTCTTGTAAGGCAGGCCTGGTGGTGACAAAATCTCTCAGCAATTGCTTGTTTGTACAGGATTTTACTTCCCCTTTGCTTATGAAGCTTAGTTTGGCTGGATAGGAAATTGTA